AAAAAAAAAAAATTATAAAAAAAAAATCTAAAAAAAATATATAAATAGACTAATTCTCAGCCGTTCAATAAATTGAAAAAAGAAAAAGGCTGCAAAAATCTCGTATCATTCTTCCAAAACCAACGAACAATCAAGTTGCAAAAGCTCGGCCGCGTTCATCATCATGACTTCACTGAGACTCCAAAGCTGAGCCCGTATATCCTCCATCTCCGGATGCAACATATCCCCAACTACAAACGCGTGAACCTGATTCTTCAACTCGATCCAGCTACACCCGGGCTCTTTACTAATCCCCCTCACACTCATTATCTTCCTCACCCTCACCACATCATCCAATCTCCCCAAAGCAGAGTAAATGCTCGACAAAAGCACGTAAGCCGACGATTCTTGAGATCCCAACTCAATCAACTTCTCCCCCGCATAAGCACCCAACTCATAATGCCTATGGTTTCTGCAAGCGCTCAACAAAATGCGCCATAAATAGAGTCCATGGTCAATTTCTGCAGACTCAATAAATTCCCGGGCTTCTTGGAGCTTCCCTGCCCGGCCCAATGTATCGACCATGCACGCATAGTGCTCGACTTTCGGCACCACACCGAATTTTTCGTTCATGGACTCGAAATACTCCCGACCCTTGTCGACCAACCCCATGTGGCTACATGCAAAGAGAATGTTAACCAACGTGACATCATCCGGCTTCGCACCTTCTTCTTGCATTTCCTCGAAAAGCTTTATAGCTTCAAGCCCGAGCCCGTTTTGAGAGAGCCCAGATATCATTGCATTCCACGAGACCACGTCTCGTGCTGGCATCCTTCGAAAGACGTGAAGCCCGTCCTCAAGGGACCCGCATTTCGCATACATAGTCGAGAGAGAACTCCCGATCGGGACTTCAAGTGTGAACCCGTTTTTCACCACGTGTGCGTGCACCTGTTTCCCTTGCTCGAGTGATGAAAGGCCTGAACAGGCTTTAAGCACGCTCGCCATTGTCAGCTCGTTTGGGAAAATTCTCTGTTTTTGCATCATGCAGTACAGATTAAAGGCGCTCTCGTTCTCACTGTTCTGCACGTAGCCCCCGATCATGGACGTCCACAAGACGAGATCTGGATTGTAAAGAGAATCGAACCCTTTACGGGCCTCGACTATGAATCCACACTTGGCATACATATCGATTAGGGCCGTTGTTATATACATCTGAAAATTGAAACCCAATTTTATTAAATACGCGTGCACTTGTTTCCCGGCGTTTATTTCTTCAGTGTCGCTACAAGCGTTGAGCACGCCTACAAGAGTGTACTCGCTTGGCTTCAAATCGAGAAAATGCATTTTGTGGAATAATATGATTGCTATATCACCTTCCCCACTCTGGGCATGCCCTGTAATCAAAGCTGACCAAGTAATTGAATTTTTGTCGGACAAAAGCTCGAAAACCTTAACCGCGTCACTCAAGTTCCCAGCTTTCGTATACATTGTGACAATGGCATTCCCGACGGACACAATTTCAGTCAGCCCGTTTTTTATGGCCAAACAATGGACTTGTTTCCCCTGATTACCAAACTCGGGCAATGTAAAAGCTTTCAAGACGCCTGTAAATACAAACTCGTTAGCCTCTTCCCTTTCAGTGGACAGCAAGCCCCTGAAAATCTCAAATGCCTCGTCTGCCAGCCTCTGTGAGGCGTAACCAGAGATCATGGTGGACCAGGTGATCGAATTTCGCAAGGGCATTTCATCGAACACCTTCCGGCCTTCACTCATAAACCCAAGCTTGCAGTAGGTATTCAGCATCGAGCTATACACAAATACGTCCCTTGAGTCGGGTAACTTTACCACCAAGCAATGCGCCTGACGGGATGCGCGGGCGTCCTCCAGGACGGCGGCGGCGGAGAATACACCGGCGAAGGTGTGTGAGTTGGGGAGGGTGCGGCGCCAGAGCATCTGTCGGAATAACTGCAGGGCGTAGAAGGAATCGTGGGCCCTCCCCGTTTGGGAATGGGCGTTGATGAGGATGTTCCAGGCGACGGCGCTGGCCTCGCCCGGGGTCTCGCCGAACAGGAGCCGGGCGTCGGGGAAGGAGCCGCATTTGGCGTAAAAGTTGAGGAGAGAGATTGAGAGGGAGGCGCTGGCGGAGAGAGCGCCGGCCTTGAGGAGGAGGGCGTGGAGCGATCTGCCGCAGCGGAGGTTCTTGTGGTCGGTGAGATGGCGGAGCAGCTGTGGCGGCACGGCGGGAAGTTGGTTCATAGGGGGATAGGCAATTCTTGGTGGAATTAATATGTAAATAAATATATAAGGTAGCTAAAATGCATTTTACATGGCTCGTCGAACTCGAGCAGTGAAGAAGAAAGTTGATCTGCGCTCGACAAGGTTCACGTTCGACTTGACTCGATTCGTTTGCAGTCCAAAATTCATTCTCAACAATCAATAGCTTACACATTATGGAAACTTGTAGATGCCAATAAAATGGCTTACAAAACCAGATGAAAGACGGTAAAACGAATCAAAGTCGAGGTACATAAGATATGTTTTTATTTTTTAAACGAAATAACCTCGTATTTTATCAACGGTTCACATTTAACGCTCCAAAATACAACGATTTTTTATTTGTGTACATCGACTACTCAAATCCACAAATATTCAGCGAACTATACTCAAGTTTTAGAAGTCTCAAGATAGAAACAACCACATAGAACACAAGATGCTTTTATCAACTTTGTAAAAAGATGCAAAAAGTTCTAAATTATGATTTTATTTCACTTCATGAGAGTTTCTTGTTGTTCTTATACGTCTGCAGGGGGTTCACGACATCAAAAGACACGCTTTGGTACGTGCCCAATTGTCCGAAACTGAATATAAACCTTTTCGGCACCAACAAGTGCATTGGGGTCGCTTGTTCGTCAAGTCCTCAATGAGTTATCGCGCCAAAGTGGAGGGCCGAATCAGTCGTCGCGTCAGCGAGACCTTCCCGCCGCCACGGTGGCACACACCTTTGCTCCGGGAACGCGCTCATTTGGACTCGGAGTCAGTATTCTGTTTTTTCAAGTAGTCCCCAAAGAACCTATTTAGAGTTCTAGCATGCGAATTGCATGATTATGATTCATTTGCTTGTTCAAACATTCGTTAGAAATAGAATGTTGGTGAATCCTACAATCTTTGAGTTACATAAACACAAATTCCCCTATATTTTAACTAATTTTTCATTAAACCTAAAATATTTTCAGATTTTATTCTAAGTAACACCATAAAAAGGGTACAAAACCAATTTGTTTTACATTTACTTAATACAATATATATATATTCCTTACTATTAATAGGTATTAAAGTGGCATCTCAATTAGTTTTCTAAATTAGTTATTTTTTTTCTTTCTCTTTCAAAAGAGGATCAACAGTGATTCTAATTTACTTCAATGGGTGACATGAACTCGAGACCTATTGATTCTCACTCGAATTTACACACACACACACAAAAAAAAATTAGCTTCAACACCTGAATGAATCTTAAAAATAATTGTTAATTAAATTTTACAATGTTTCAATAAACAAAAACTATATTCAGGAGTTGAATGAACAAATAAAAATAATGCTAATAAAGAAAATTTCACAGTGAGATCAATACAAACAAATTCTTACAATAATTAAGAAGCAAATATGATAAGTCTCATTGAAGAAGGAGCCTTAGTTATATATACCAGCAAGCACAGCCACTTCCTCTTTGCTGTTCAATCCCAGATACTGATTCTGAAATTATTGGAAGATCACTGCACAAAAACAAAAGGCAGAGCAAAATATTATTATAATTTAGTTATCTAAATC